CAGTCTAGACATATGGGGGAGGGCCTAGGCCAAGCTCCAAAGGATATGACAGACTTTGAAGATCCCCCATGGAGGGCCTCATCCTCCCTGGGGAGCAGAAAGGGGATGGGATAGGGGGTTGGTGAGGGTTGACACGTAAAAACAATCTTGTTTCTAATTTAAATAAAAAAATTATGCAAACTTTGGAAGAATATAATAAGTAAGAAAATCTACCAATAACCACATTTAAAAATGCTCATAACTATTTTTCAATCATATTCCCTTGCACATGCAGATATGTAGTTAATTCAAGATCATATTAGGCAAACAGTTTGCTATCCCATTTTACAACTGTTTGTATTCTCTTAGATGATGAAATAGTTTGTTGAGAGATAATTTATAATGAATGCTAAGTAGCTCATTTTAAGAATAGCACAGCTGAGAGTGATGTAGAAGACTTCTGTGACAAGACTCCCCCTTCCCCCCCACACAAGTTGCAACCTAAACAGGAAGCCATCAAAGAGAACTCTTAAAAATGTGATAATAATACTAAATGAAGTGTAGCCCTCTACAACAGACTGCTACTGGCAGAGGTACAATTAGGGAAGGAATAAGTTTTCTTTAAGGGGCTGGCCACGGAGAGTTTGACTATGCTTTGATGACTCTAAAACTTAAGTTGGATGATCCATCTGAATAAATAATGAGCTACAGTGACCCCTGTTTTACTTCATACTTCCTGAATGTTAAGTATTAAGAGAGAGCCAAGAACTAAGAAGGGAAAACAGAAATCAAGTGGGTTGACTATGGCTAGAGACATATGCTGTAATATGACCACACTTGTATCTAACTCTGATGAACTTCTACATTGCCTATTATTGGTTCTTGCGTGCAATCATTAGAGTCTCAGTGAAGAATGAACAGTTTTAAGGAAAGCTTAATATGGTTATATAAACAGCTGGAATCTAAGATTACTATAACAAAGTCTATGGGAGAGGTGGGAAATGCAAAGGGAAATGGAAAAATAATAATCTGGAAGGAAATCATTCCAGGAGAGAAGAAACTCTGAATCTTTTGATATTTTGCTTGCATGGGCTTATATCTCATGTGTCCATGTGTGTATGAGGGCCTGTATGTGGTGCATGCTCATGCTACGGTGCACATGCTGAGCTTAGAGGACGAGTTGCAGGAGTTTCTTCTCTCCTTCTACAATGCAGGCCAAGCAGATCAAATATGGCTCAGCAGCAGCTTTGGTGACATCCATCTTTGCCAGCTGACCTATCTGGTAAGTCCTCATAGAGTTCATTCTTAAAACGCAAAATAGCTTCACAAAAGATAAAGGTCATAGCGATCAATAAACTTCAAAAACGAGTTCTCTCTATCCCTTACATAATAGAGTCTCCACAGCAGGCAGTTGTGGGCCTCATTCTATTTTCCAGAAATCTAGGAATGAGGTAAAAGTCTGGAAGGAAAGAGGCCATGAGTAGGCCCTTGCCGGCTCAACATCTACTCAAGCCACCAAGTTTTCTGCTCTACTTTGGCATTCCAGTGTCCTAGCCAATGACCCTTCACTGTCTACCAATCCCCATGTAGTCCTTTTTACCTCTGAACTATATCAACATGTCCCTTGGTTTCATGTCTGCTCAAACTAGTAATCTAACCTATGTGCATCCATTTAGTCCTCATTATCTCGTGAGAACCATATGACCCTCTTGCTCCAACAGCTATCACCTGTCTCACCTAAAGTCGCCTAGCTCTCTAGTCCAGCATGACAATTTCCAAATATACATCTATACCTTGGACATGTACATTTAAGTTTCTAGAGGCTCTTTTTAAAAATATATATTTAAGAAAGTTCCATTTCCCCAAGCAAACTGCCTTGCTTCACATATGTCTTTTCTTGTTGCCAGGATTTCCAGTCTACATAACACTTGCCATTAGCTGGAAATACTTCATTTCTGTGCCAGCAGCGACTAGCACAGTTAACAGATGTATGGCTTGCTCTTCTTGGGGAATTCACTCCACTTTCCATGTCTTCAACCTGTCACAGCAAAAGCTTGCTGATAACATATGCATTGTTTTTTTGTGTCTTGTTTCTGTCCAATTGGCTGCCGTCGAGAATCCAGCATTGAAATAAATTAACTCCATGGACATGACTTTATAGTGTCAAACAAAGAATTCAAAGGCCATATGAAAAACACACATGCCATTCTCCTTCATGCATTTCCAGGAATTGCTACTTAATGATTTAAATTATAATATATGTTATTAGCACATGAAAACAGAAATGTTCTTTCTTAAAACTTTATTTTTATTTTTATGCATATGGGCATGTTATCTGCATCTACACACTGTGTTCATTTAGTGCCTGAAAAGGCCAGAAGACGGTAATTGATCCTTCTGGAACTGGAGCTCTAGAGCAGAAAACAGTAACTGATCCTGTGGAACCGGAGCTATAGAGGTTGTTTGTTGCGATGCAGTTGCTTGGCAATGAATCCCAGATCTTTCGTAAGAGCAGGAGTGCATTTAACCCCTGAACCATCTCTCCACCCCCACCTACTTATCTTTAAACAGTCTCAGGAATGGTCCTTGGCTGGCCTGGAACTTATATAGACTTTTCTGGCGTCAAACTCATAGAGATCTGCCTGTCTCTTCCTCCTGTGCTGAGCTTGAAGTCATATGCCATCATGCCCAGCAATAAAAATGAAATTTGAATAAGCAATTTATTGGCTTGAGTTAGTAAAGATAAGTGACAGTCAACAGTTTAAGCATACTTGGGGAATAAAATTAAACAGTTTACCTACTGTTACACCTTTTCTGCTATTGACTTTCTCTATGCCTTTTCCATTATGATTTCAAGAAGAACACGTACTCAAAATCTAAGAAATGTCCCTTCATTTTAGCGTTAGCTTTGCTTAAATAAAAACAATCTCACTAAACTGCAAACAAACCAGCATTCTCTGGGATTTGTAATGACCTCTTTCAGTGTGAAGATGAAGAACTGCTGTCCGTTTGGAAAGATGAGGGAACAATGTGGATTCAGACTTCAAGCTGCAAGATTAAATTACTTCATTTAGCTGCAGTTTAAATGTGGGCTAGTGGGGGACAGAGTGCTTTCTCTTAGCATGCCTATCTGGTCCTATCAAGATGTCTTTAGCCAATTAGCTTGCTCAATTGAGTAAGCATTTCCTACCTCATTTACTTGAATAAAGATGGAGCAGGGAAATTTCCAGCAAGACAAAATGATCTTCACAGAGATCACCAAGAAACAAGTCCTCACGTAAAATAACATATTCAAAGCAATACATTACTTGTTTAAATGATAAGTGTGATATTTTCCATACTTTATAAAGCAAAGCTGTTGAAATTTCCAAGTTATTTGAACATTTTGGTAAAGGGTGGTGAGTCAAGCATCCAAATATTTGAATAGGGGAAAAAATCTCTCTTGTTCTATTTTTGCCAGAAATTGTTCTTTATTTGTTTTGATTAAGTAACTATGCAGCTCCTTAAATAGTGATGAATATACTTAGAGAGTTATTTTTATCTTATCTATTATGAAATGAAAGGTTAGTGATATAAATATTGAGAGACAAAGAACTTTTGGAAATAAAAGAAAAACTTCTAAGGGGGGAAATTAACAGAACAATCCACTGAAACCTACAGACAAGAGTTTGTTGATGGTGTCCTTGATGAGCTAGTTATATAAAGTTCTGTAAGAAATGAACAAGGTAGGGTCTCCACATGCTATGAAGCTGAAAGTTTGTAACATCCATCTTCTAAATCTCCAATTCTCTCTAGACTGACCGACCACCTTTGGTAAATGTGAGTTCTGTTATTGAGCATATCTTGCTATTTGATAACATAAAATTATATACCTTTAACACATTTACTGTGTTTTTAATAAGTATAAGAAAAACAAGAATGGGCATTACTTAAATTGGATCTAGGGCATTATCACGAATGAATATTTAATGCTGTGATATCTTTCAATTAGGATTCAAAACCTGAAATAGAGACCACAGAGTCGCCACTGAACTTGACAGATTTACTACTGAAGTGGGCTTTTATACTAAATAGCACAGTTGGCTTTAATCAAAATCATCCATTTTAATTGAAATAAAAAGCAGTTATCTGTTCATATAAACTGTCTATTGGAAACTGGTCTCCATGTCTCCCTCTGTCTCCTTTTCTCCCGCAGGTAATAAAAGAGGGCTTTGTTTGTACTTTGAAATATGGTCCTCACTACCTTTCTTTTCCCAGACAGCCTAGAAAAGGATTTTGTTTTCTTTTAAATAAGCTTCCACTGGAAGAGAGACAGGAGCCTAAGAAGTTCAGGGTTCTCATTAGTGGAGATGATGCCCTCATCTCCTTTCTGAAAACAACTTTCTGTGCCCCAAACCACCTCAACACTCAGTATCAGTATTGCCATGAATATTTCTTGCCTTTTCACAATTTTGCCTGTTTCTCAACACCTAGAAAATTCCAATCCAGAATGTTTAGTCATCACACCCTTTTAAAAAGATGTAACAAAACAAGATTATCAAAACATTAATTGTATACAATTATTATATAAGTAAGCGATACTTCAAAAAGGGTTGAACAAAGGGTACAAATATACTACGTAATTAATGAAAGTGTGTGCCGAAAATAATTGAGATTTCAAATCACTAAGACTAAGTTTAGTATATCTATATTTTTAAATCTGTCCCCTTAACTTCACAATATATCTTTATTAACATGCAAATTATATTTGAATGTGTGTACATGTTAATCTAAAAAGCTTAGTTTAAAACAAAATGTAAGCTAGTGTGGCACCAAATGGATGTATATGCAACCCATGTTTTTGTTTATTAATGCAAGTTTTGAAAACTTGTATTACTCTGTTGTGGAACAATTTTTTAATAGAACAATGTTTATAAAAGATGTAATTATATACATATATATATATAATACACCTATAATTTTCAACCTTATGCACAAGTACTCATTCTACTGATTGCTATAAATAAGAAGGAATTCCTTACCAAGGATGAATTCCAACTGTGGCTCATTGGGAATCTTCTGGATGCCTGTAAAGAGTAGGGATAATTTTAGCTTTTAAAAGTATTTGTTATCAATACTATAATAGCATATCACTATGTCACATGTCCAGATATGTACATATATTTTTGGCAGAATGTATAAAGTTAGATAATCAGACTTAACCATTATGAATTCTCATGTGAAGGCAAAGTATTTATAGTAATGTCAATGGAAATAAAGATATCTTCATGGACATAGAGAAACCCCAAAATGATAACTATAAAATGTGTTTTCCAACTATGACTATTTGTTTTGGAAGTATGAAAGTAGAAGTGGGAGATTTACAAAGACCCTGCCTCATCAAGGGACTTTCTTAAGTGTGTTTTCTTTCTAGCTCTCTGACTTGTTAACAACGGGGATGGCTCCAACCCACGTTCTAGCAGGCATGATTATGAAACTGCTTATTTCCCCTGCTTATTGATTATTTCAACACCTCTACTCTTTTTGTCAATGATATTCCCCAAAGAAAACAGCATAGAGAATGATGAAAGATGAAGTAGGATTGCGAAAGTGAGTCTCAGAAAGAGGGCCTAGAAATGTGGTGGGTTACTGTTAGGTAGTTAGTGTATCAGGATGTGGGAGGCAGATGTTGAAGATCATAGGGAGTCCTTTTATAGGAGACAGATGCTTGAAGACCAGAGATAGTCAATAGCCATCCCGAACAAGCATGGGTAAGGGTGTGAATGAATGATATTCCACTTGTTACAACTTATAAGCAGCCAAAGAAACCAAAGTAAAACATAGAAAATTATATCACTTAACAATAAATATAAAGCTTTCACCCTTGTTTGTGTATTCCTCAGAGACTGTTTAAATTAACTGGCATTTAGTCAATAGCCTATTTTTAAAGCCACCTTTTTGAATAAAATGCAATGCCTTTTTATTCAGAGTTAGCACTTTCCTTTTTTTAGCATAGTTACCATTTTTTCTCTCCTGCTTACATTTGAAATGCTTCAGTTAGCAATGTTAGATTGTCCAAGAGATTTTAGACTCATTAGGTATGCTCTTGGGATATAATCAAGCTTTGCTTTTGTTTTGGATACTAATAATTAACTCTGCTCTTAGTTTTAACAACCAAATTTATTGGCAATGCATCCAACCAATACCATTTTCTGAAGTCAATTTTCAAGATACAAATTTAACAAGGTTATGTATATATTTGCTATTGCTAAAAAGAAATAGTAAAAATACCGCTCCAAAATAAAAGGACACAGTTTAAACTAAAGGATAAATTGAAAACCTAAAATTTTAAACATTGGAGAAAGCAGCATTCTTTTAAATTTCTTAATTGTGTGAGTAGCAAAAAAATTGATTCCAATGTTCAGGTTTCAATATTGGTCAAATGTGTAAACTTTCTGTTATGTGAACTCTTGCCAGCTGGTAGAGCAGCAAGGCAAACTATGTATAACATTTTCTGAATGCTCTCATCTTAAACACCATTTGGTCTTAGCAATGTCTACCTTCCAAAATATTGATTCCCTATAAGAGTAAATAAATACCAAATGGAAGCTCTCCTTAAAAATGATTAATGTCTGGAAAGGGTCCATAAAATATATTTATCAGTGCTTTAATGCATGTTTGAAAATTCCATCGTTGGATGCTGCTTAATGCTGGCCTATCATCTGTCTCACCCAAAATAAAAGATGAGAAGAATGCCATGCACTCACAGCCCAAAGCACAGGCAGAAAGGGGGAAACAATGAGAGTAAGTTCACGATGCTTGGTGGAATCTAGGTTTCTGTGAACGCATGGGGATATGGGTTTTGCTAACCCAGTTTGGCTCTTCAGAGACTACAGGACACATACTTACTTGTGAACTGAGTGTCCTCAGGGTCAATCGCCTGAGCTGCAGGAAGAAAATGCTGGCCTTCTTCTGAAGTTCCTTCGTCTTTGATTTCCATGATCCACCTCACAACTGACTTATTATCCACAGTGTGTTGTCCAAATAGTACCAGATAAAGGGTTCTGATTTAATGTCGATGTGTCTTCACACTAATATCCCACTGTGAAATTCTGCACATAGAAAACATCAAGATCCAAGACTGCAGTCATTTCAGAGCTCAGATCAAGTTAATAATTAACATAGAAACTACAGCTACTTACAAATTACCTTAGCTTCACGCCCAGCCCTCTTAAACTTGCAGAATCAAGCTACACAGTGCGCCGGAAGCTCTAGGCTAAGTTAATGTTTTCACAGTAATCATTAGAGTCATATGAGGAATTTCTAAATCCAGAAAGGGATATTCATCCCTTCAATTTTATTTCATGAGCTAGAAGATAGATGCATGGTTGCTAAATTAATACATATATCCATCCCTTCAATTTGTTTACTGAGCTAGAACATGGATACAGCGTTGTTAGCTAAATGTGCACTTGATTGAGTAGGTGGCAAGAGCAGATGGTTCCTGTGAAGGAATTCTGCCTGCTTTGCCACTGTGATCATCACTATGACTCTTTCCACTGGAATTTCCCTTTATGTCCTGTCTTCACTTGTCAGAGCATTAGTCATGAACACATAACCATCATTTGGCCTGCGCTTTTCTTCCAAGATGGGCCCACAGGTTGATAAGGGGAGTTTCCAGCCTCATTATTTTCCAGAATCTCCTACTGTTCTGTACGATAGTGGTTTAATTACTTAATTATTAGGGGATGGTGTGAAAAAAGAGGAAAAATAATTCTCAAAAGCTGAAGCTCAAAGGAAAAAGAAAGCAACAGAAAACGGATGGCAATCTGCTCTGAAAAGGAGCCACCCCCCTCCTCATTTAATACCCTGTTATAGAGCTACAAATTCATGCTGATATACATGGCCAAGAATGAATTGAAAAAATCAATGTTGTTTTAAATCAAGTTACCAGCTGAATCAAAATGTGCAAAAATCATTAAATGTCTACACAGTACTATTTAACGAGACAGCAGCTAACAAGTTTGGTTTAGAATACTGATGTGACCTCAAAACCCACAAATCAGCAATCCAACATTCTGCTGTTCTTGACCAAGTGGCTGTATTTAAGATTCATCTTTACTTCTTGGAAATCGTCTGGCAAAAATTACAATGCAGAAAGCAGCCTGAATCTTCAGAAAATGGCTGCAGATAAATGCATATTGGCTCATAATGATATAAGGAGACTATTGGCTAAGGTAAAGGACTGTTTACCCTCCATTAGATCATAGCCATTACTTTCAGAATCATTCTTTGAATTGAAACAATTCTTTCTAATTTCTTTTTTGCCTATTAAATTTACAACTCCTTTCTGATAAATGCACACCTATTCATTACATAGTCTCTCAAAGAGCTGAAAATTCTGTGACACTTGGGTATAAGGGTCTCCTCTACCTCATTATATTATTTTAATTAAATGTTCAACCTTTAATCCTGATCAGTCATTTAAAAAATTTAAAAGACCCATACAAGATGATGCAAATCCTTGATGCAGTGGCACTCAGCGCAGTGAATGTGAATAATTGATAAAAGAAATGCTAAGCCAGGTAAACGTGTGCACTTGTGCAATACAGAGAGAAGGGAGCAGAGGGAGGTAGATGCTTCTGAGCTCTTGCGGTCATGGTCCCATTTTGAGTGTGCCATCTTCGTGAAACACATACAGTAAGTGACAACAGTGCATAAAGGGGAAGTATGTGCTACTTCTGAGCATGGGGCTCTATCTTTATTCTTCTTTTGTTACACTGAAGAATAATTTAGGATTTGATGCTTACTACTGAGACAAGGTCCTCAGAATGTATCAATAACAAAGCTCCAGGAAAACCACTGAATTTCCAGATGGTAAGTACAGTATTTACCTACTGCTGTGGTTGGCCTCCTTTTCTGGCTCTTTTTGCTAGCTTTCTGGTCATACACAAACTGTGGTTTCTGCATACCAAGCACAATGACTCTTCAGTCTAGCTCTTCCACCTTTAGACCTACTCAGAAGAGCAATGAATGAGATGCAGAGTAGTATTACCCTACAGTAGGAAAGTTCTGTTGCTTCTCTCCTGCTCCCTGAGACGAGTCTAAATGATGGGTAGCCGTTTTTTCAAGTTACATTTAGTTGAACAACATTTCTCATAGACCATGTAATAAGCACTGTTAAATATTTTTACACACTTCACATTAAAATGAAATTCTGACATGCTCATGAAGTCATGAACAGACACCATGGTTAGGTAGGAAGAGACGGGCCACACAGATGCTCCACAGTGAAAGGGCGATAACAATGTCTTCAACATTAAAAGGTTGTGGTGTGGTGCCAGTCATTCACTATTGACAGGCAGACCAAAGGACATCTTCTGGTGAAGACACAGTGCTGAAGGCAAACCATGGACACGAGACTTGAAAGCAAAAATGATGCGCTTAGCTGATGTGGTGAGTTTCAGACAACACCCTTCTACCACACTGTCTTAACATATTAACGTAGCCTTACCATGATTAGGAAATGTTTAAAGAGAAAGTACGTTATAAATGTTTAAATCAGGATGGGGATTGTAATAAAAATTGCAAAGAGATAAGAAAGAATAGAAGAATCCAGTCTCACAGTGATTACATTCAAAAGGTATAGTAAGGACACTCAGGTTGCGATTAAATGATATAATTTAGATATATCAAACAGAGACCGAGCCTTGCTATTTATTCTAGGACAGGTAAGGGCAATACAACTGAGTTTGATGAAGTGGCATGTGCTCCCTTCCTTCCTTCCTTCCTTCCTTCCTTCCTTCCTTCCTTCCTTTCTTTCTTCCTTCCTTCCTTTCTTTCTCTCTTCCTTCCTTTCTTTCATTCGTTCTTTCTTTTCATTTTTTTTAGAACAAGGCCTTTCTGTAGCTTTGAAGCCTGTCCTGGAACTCTCTCTGTAGACCTGACTGGCCTGAAACTCACAGCAGTCCACCTGCCTTTGCCTCCCAGGTTGGCATTAAAGGGGCGTGCACCACCACCGCCAGTCTCTTTCACTTTCTATTATGTGAACACACCTGGTTGGACACTATGGATTTCTCTAAAGCTGCAATTGGAAGTATAACAAGAGGGGAGGGGAGTGTGAGTCCAGATTCAAGGGTAGGGGAGTTTTTCTCCACTCTAGAACTTGAAAGTCCCAAAAGGAGGAGAGGTTCATGAGTGGATAAACACTTTGATGTCTTGACTCGCATCCCAAACCTAGGGTAGCCACTTCCAGGTTCCCTCATTTGCCTTATCCCTCCCTACTCACACAGAGTTCACTAAAGATGTGATATAGACCAATATGAAGACGTAGTTTCTTCTTTATTATTGTCTTGATGATAGCTCATTTTTTTATTTTCTATTTTTAATAAGAATTGCTTCCAAACAAAAAGTATGTAACAGTCAGTGATTAGGTATTAGAAAAGCCTATAAAGCAGACTAGATAGAAAGAATGGAAATAAACCATGTCAAATATACTGCATATTTGAATGGTAGAAAGTGCCTGAAAAATTATAATGATAAAGAAATCATCTTATTTATAGGTGATTTAGTCGTCCAGAAAAACAAAAGCAGAATTTATGCCAATGGTTGGAAATAAATGGTTAGAAAATAGAGGCAATATTTCAAAGGAAATTGGTGAACAGATTTACTGGTCTTGGTGACAGAATTTGGTGTGATATTAAAGTAGCAATCGTGAGAAATATGAATGTTGTAGATACCGTAGGAAAGCCTGAATCAATAAACTTTCTAGAGAATAAACAAGGCAACATTTAGCCAAGGATGTGAATTTTGATATTGAAGCATGTGTTCTACTTAGAACATGCTTGAACATGCATGAACATAGGTTCTCAAGAGAAAGGTAGGCTTCAAAAATATTTGGAGACATTGGATACTAGCTAAATCCATATAATGTACAAGTTCACTTTGTGTCACAAGACACAAAGATTTTTAGGGGTGTAGGTAGGGATTCTTGAAAAAGAAAAACCTTAAAAAGTAATGAGGAAAGCTGGAAAGAGGAGTAAAGACGCAGCCGATGTAATATTGTCACTGCTCCACTGAAGTGCTCTTTCTCAAACAGCAGGACCACTGGGTGGAGAGAGGACTATTTTGATGGGGAAATGTGAGCCTAACTGATTGATGAAGGCATGCAGAAAATATTAAGGGATTACACAAGAGATGCAGTCTGTAACGAGGAGGGGAATGGAGATGAACTGAAAATGAGGCAACGGTCTCACAGGAAGAGGTAGGAACTTAAAGACGCTTACCACAATGTCATCACTTCCCGTAGAGAAAATGACATAGCCACATATTCATAAGTTGAATAGAGGTGAAAATTTCACAATGCACTTTGAAAACCTCAGAAAATATAGGTAAAGAATAATATATCCGAAGTCCTGGTTGGTTTTTTTAGCTTCATACAAACATAGACTTATCTGATAAGAAGGAATCACAATTAAGAGAATACTTCGTAATACTGATCTGTAGGCAAGTCTGTGGGACAATTTCTTGGTTCATGATTGACATCAGAGGGCTAAGGACACCAAGGGTTGTGCTGCCACGGTGTAGGTGGTCCTAGGATGTACAAGAAAGCAGGCTGAGCAAGTCGTGAGAAACAAAGGCAATGAGCAGCCCTCGTTTTATGGTCCATGATTTAGGTTTCTCCCCAGGTTCATGCTTTGATTTCTTGCCTTGACTTCATTTCGTGATAGGCTGTGATCAGGACATATAAGCTGAAATAAACCCCTTCTTCTTCAAGTTGCTTTTGGTCATGGTGTTTAATCACAGCAATAGAAAACTAGGACATTTGTAAACATTAAGATAAAATGATCTACGAGGAAACAATAATATAACAATGAGAAAACAACATGCACACCTAGAAAATAGACATAGAACTTTCCAGCTTTCATTTTCAGAGACTTAAATATAATCATCCCCACCCCACAGTCAAGAAAAAGCCAACAACATACAATTAAAACTTTCCACTAGTGAATTAGGAAAATGTCTCAAGGTCATCAATTGATTCGTATCTGGAAAAACAGCTGACTCCATGAGGCTGAGAATGAGAAGAATGCCAGGCTCAAGTCTGTAGTAA